AGTAGCGGCTCCACGCGACGGGGCCAACGATGGCTGGGTCACCGCCAGGCCAGAGGCAGCCACGGCCAGCCACACGCGGTAGCGCGCACAAGTGCGACCAGCGTGTTGACCCCGAGCGCCCGAGCTTGGTGACCGCGTCCACCCGACGAGCCAGCCCGAGAACGTGATGTGCACGAAATTTAAAGCACCTATAACAACTAAACGGTTGCTTTTGGATCTAAACCATCTTCACCATGCTCAAGATGGCATATGAGGCTACCAAACCGAGCTAAAACATGTCACCTTTCCTTAACCCAATTTCACAAAATAAATTCCTAAACATTGCATTGTCTTGCTGCCTATGAACTTGAAAATATTCTAAGTCTTTGAGCTGAACTTGATTCCAAGTTGCATTTCGAGGCTATTAGAAATGTTAGCTAGAAATGTTATTTTTCCACGGCAAGTATTTCATTGTCATCTACAAAGTTCATATTCCAAACTTTATTTAAGCGCCACATATATGTTCTATAGCATTTTTGTTCAATAAAAATTAGTTTTGAACCCTACTTGATACATATGAGTTATGGAATAGCTTATCATTTAACATTTTTATAGATCATCTAAAGTTACAAAAATGTTATCTACACATTCTATCACATATATTATCACATAAACATGATGCTCATGACATGATTTGGTAATTTGTTTAGGGCGTAACACCGAGGGTGTTACAGAATGTGATGATTATACTACCATGTCGAGGAATTGAACCAATCACAAGATGATCACAATCAATCACAATGAATACCAAGAAATCCTCGGACAATGATAACATAAGATTTTTTACCAAGGTTCACTTGCTTGCTGACAAGCTAGTCCTCGTGTGGCGATTCACTCACTTGGAGGTTCACGCACTAATTGGCATCACACGCCAAACCAGCAACCGGGTGCCGCACAACCAACACAAGATGAGGATCACACAAGCCACGAGCAATCCACTAGAGTTGCCTTTGGCACTCCACCGGGGAAGGCACAAGAACCCCTCACAATCACAATGATCAGAGCCGGAGATAATCACCTTTCTCTACTCGACGATCCACCAATCACGGGTCGTCTAGGTGTCGGCAAACACCAAGAGTAACAAGCTCTCCACCAGCCCAAATCGCCCAACTAGTGCCACAAGATGCTAGAACACTAAGCAATGCACTAGAGGCTCTCCAATCTCACTCAAGATGATGAAATCAAGTGTGTAAGTGAGTGGAGTGGTGTGCTCAGCTCTCAAAGGGTGTATGTAGCTGTTAGAAGTGCCAAGAGAGTAGCCAAGGCCGGCCACACCCTCTATTTATAAGCCCACAAGAAAAATTGAACCGTTTCACTTTGAAGCCAGCCTCTGCGAGGGCACCGGACATGGCGGTGCTGGCACCGCCATAGGGGTGGCGGTGCCCCTCCAACGGTCGAAACCAATAGCTAGTTTGCCTAGCCATGGTCACCGGACAGGGTGGCGGTGACCACCCGACCATCTACCCAAAAACCCCCTTCTCTGGACTTTTATGGCAGTGCACCGCCCTCTAGGCGGCGGTGCACACCGAACGCACCGGTGCCCGCACTCTCCTCTGCTGCTCTCGGCCACGTTCAGGTGGGCACTTCCCAATGGGTGGCGGTGCCACTAGACACAGTGGTGGTGCCCCCAATCGAACACCTCCCTCTCGGCCACCATTGTCGGTCACCGCCATAGGGGTGGCGGTGCCCTCGGGGCAGCAACACAAGCCCGTCTATGTCTCCTTTTCTTCACCTTTCTCACCACCTTTGCAAATGTGCTAACACTCTAAGTGTTTCACCATCACATGCAAGTGTGTTAGCATTGTCACAATTATTTTTTAAAGGTTAATCACTTTCTCACCGAATGTGCACTAGGCCTAAAATGCAATGCAAGTATTTCAACACCTAGTGGCACTAAATGATCGAGTTGTCCGATAAGAGCTTTCCTCTTAATAGTATGACCATCTATCCTAAATGTGATCACACTCTCTATAGTGTCTCGATCACCGAAAACAAAATAGCCCTATGGATATCACCTTTGCCTTGAGTTTTTTGTTTTTCTCTTTATTCTTTTCAAGTCATGGAGCTTGATCATCACCATGGACTCCACCATCACCATGACCTTCTCCATTTGCTCCATCGCTTGGATTGGACCATCCTATTTAGTCACACACTTCGATGCAAGGATTAGTCCAAATAGGTTTCATCAATTAGCCAAAACCAAACTAGGGCTTTCAGTTGGGTTCGACTTGATTATGAATCATGTGGAGAAGAAAGTTGGCTAGGTATTTTTTTATCGATGGATCGGGAGGAACCGGCAAGACATATCTTTATAAGGCTTTGCTTGCAAAGGTGTGCTCCATGAATCTTATAGCAATTGCTACAGCCACATCTGGTATTGCAGCAAGTATCATGCTCGGCTGACGCACTGCACACTCCTGCTTCAAGATTCCCATAAAGCTAGATAATAACACTATGTGTAGCTTTACAAAACAAAGTGGTACTGCTGAATTGCTTCGCAAGGCTGCCTTGGTAATATGGGATGAAGTAGCCATGACAAAGAGACAAGCAGTAGAAACACTCGACAGAATATTGCAAGATATAATGTGTTGCAATCAACCTTTTGGTGGTAAGGTCATGTTGTTTAGAGGTGACTTCAAACAAGTTCTTCCCGTTGTGACACGAGGAACAAGAGCACAGATCATTGATGCTACTTTACTAAAGTCATATATATGGGACAATGTATGAAGGATTCGGCTTACCCAAAACATGCGAGCTAAAAATGATAATTGGTTTGCGGAGTACCTATTAAGAATTGGGAATGGAACTGAAAAAACATTTGGTGATAATTATGTTCAATTGCCTGATGATATCATCGTGGAATGGAGGCAAAATTCCAATAAGAATGCAAATAAAATAAATTCAGAAGACAATCCAATTGACAACCTTATCGAACAAGTGTTTCCCAAACTCAAGGAAAATTATACCTCTGCAGATTATATGCGCGAACATGCGATTCTTTCTACTACAAATGAGCATGTCGATGAAATGAATGCAATAATGATCGAGAGGTTTCCTGGAAATGAGAAGGTATACTACAGTTTCGACTCAGTGGATGATGATACAAGGAATAATTACCCTCTTGATTTTCTAAATTCAATTACACCTAATGGGTTGCCTCCTCATGAGCTTAAGGTTAAAAAAGACTGCCCTGTTATCTTACTACGTAATCTTGATCCTCACAACGGTCTTTACAACGACACTAGATTGGTCATTAGAGGATTTCAGAACAATACAATTGATGCTGAAATAGTTTATGGCGATCATGCAAGAACCAAAGTATTCGTACCAAGGATTCGCATGCCCCCTCTGAAGACCTTACATTGCCATTCAAGTTCAAGCGAAAGCAGTTTCCAATAAGATTGAGTTTTGCAATGACAATAAATAAAGCCCAAGGTTATACCATACCAAATGCTGGTGTGTATCTCCCTGACCCAGTTTTCTCCCATGGCCAGTTGTATGTAGCACTGTCAAGAGGTGTTTCTCGTAAGAGTACATGGGTTTTGGCCAACATAAATAAGGATGTCGACCCCATTGAAAAGAGCACAAAAAATATTGTCTTCAGAGATGTATTAGAGATGTGACACCAATACATTCAATAATTTTTAAAATGATATATGCGAATACTCTCCAGAGTTTCATTGTTATTATTATTGTTTCATTACAAAGATTTTTTTTTGATAAGCATGTGCGACAACTTTAGAGTTCAAAACTTTTTAATTTTTCTTAAAAAGTTTTGGACGGATTTGTTGAAACTATTTTCAACAGGTACCCCTTGGAAATGGGGTACTTGACTATTCTACAAGGATTCTAGTGGATTTGGAACAAACTATGTTGGAGTTTTATCAACAATTTTATTCTAAAAAAAAGTTGGGAGTCGAATTTATACTGCAGAGTATAAAAATTATACTACTGCCTGCCCAACAAAAAATAAAAAGCATATCCTACATACCTAACTCCTCCAGGTTCAGGGCTGTTGGCCTTGTTTTCGCTGCGTGCCTGGATTTGGCTATTCCTAAACCCAGAGCGTGGGAAACCAAGCTACTCGACGTGCATACACGAATTAGGAAGGATAGTTTTTGGTAAGCAGGATCATCATAAGTCTCTGGTGTGCTAGGTCCGGTATAAGGTTGCAAGATGAAAAGGAGAATGCATTCTTTCACAGAACCCTGTTTTCTTGTTTTTCTTCTTTAACCATAAATCAACAAATTTTTCTACCACCTTTCTTTTTTATGTATTTTTCTGATCAGGAAAAATAAAAAAATTATGTCAGTTATTTTTGCATTTCTACTAATATATTAAAAAGAGTGATGGAAGCATAGGCCTTGAGTCGTCCTAATTTAATTTCTAAGCTGAGTATCCATTTTAGGTCGTTGTGTTAGCACATGTCACTTTTATTAAAGCATGCACACACATTCTATCTCTACGAGCATTGTTTGTCTGCTCTGATAAATGATTTCCTGGGTATATATGGATATTTGCAAAGAGAAAATGTTTTTACAATATGTAATATCTTTTCAGCTGACTAATAGGTAATGGAAGTGTTGTATCGATGCGACAATATCTTGTGTGGGCCACTGGAGTCGATTTTACAGTATTATTTATTGAGCAAAGAAATAAAAGAAGAATTTTGGTCGTCCGTTTGGTTGTCCGGCAGGTTGCAAGGAGCATGCATGGCGTGTGGCCGAGAAAGAAGACGGCAGGCATTGCCACGCCCACGCTACGATTCGATCACCATGTATGTAACATCACATGCATGATCCATATCCATCCCATAACATGCATGCTGTTGCGGACGGCACGGAGGTAGGATCGGAGAGAAACTATGATCGAAAGTCTAAGAGGCAGCAAGCCTCGGCGGATGTTAGGGCCCGTCGTGTGGTGAATAGATCGAATTGAATCGAAGGAGGCAGGCAGCGCAGCTAGGACGGATTAGGATGATTGGGAGGAGACGAAGACCCGGATCTGCTCCAGGAACGTCTGCCCCTGCGGCCGGTCCTTGCGCCGGACATACCCCGCCGCCACGCCGTGGGTGTACTCAGGGACGCCCTCCTCCCCGCTGCGCCGCCACAGGTCGCCGGCGTAGCTCCGGTGCGCGAAGTAGGCGATCGCCTCCACCACCCTGCTTCTCCCCTCCGCGCCCCCTCAACCTCGACTTCGACTTCCACCGGCAGCCGCTCGTAGTGGCCCGTCGCGACGCCTTCTAGCTCGTCCAGCCGCGCCAGCCCGCAGGCCGTCACCGCGTACGCCTCCCCGCGCACGCGGTGCGCCGCGGCCCCGGCGCCGATAGGGAGGTTCAGCAGGAACGGCACCCGGTAGGGCCCGCACACCAGCGGCAGCCGCGCCGACGTCACCGCGGGGCCCACCAGCGTGGCGTCCCCGCTCGCGGAGAGCTCCTCCAGGAGGCGGTGGTTCGAGAACCCGCGCTTCAGCGTCCCGTACGTGAACACCAGCGTCGTCGTCCGCTTCGTCGCCGGCAGGGGAGCGGGGTCGCCGGCCGCGCCCATAGGTGCGGTGATCGATCTGATGAGGAGGAGGTGGTTGGTGGTGTTGTGCTGTGTCTGCGTGTGCGTGTGCCGCTGCCGTGCCGCCGATCCAACTGGCCGGCGTGGCCCATTTATAGCTCGGTGGGCCACGCAACTGATGGCCGGCCTCGCGTCGCCTGCCATCGGCGACCATCCTTTTCTCTCCTTGCCATTTTCCTTTTTTTTATTATGATATGATATGATATGACTGAATCATAAAAGTCGCGGTAGCTGTGTGAAATAGTTAAAGAATAGTTGCAACATAATTTATATAAAAAATAGAAAAGTTATTGAAAAGACACTAAATTTAGGCATTTAGCACATTCCCACCTTGCAGCATCCGCAAAGCAGGTTGCATAAACCAGAGCATTCATCTGTACCATTGGAGCACTGTGAAGAGGGTTGACAAAATATGGAAATATTAATTTTCTTGAAATGGTACTGGTAGAGTTAAACTCCACTTTAAGATATGATTCAATAGGGACATAAAACAACCATAAAAAAGGCAGCTAAAAGAATTGCTGACAATTTGGCAGTAAACAAGACAGATATGAGCATAGGGGAGGGGAGGGGGGGGGGCCTTAAAGCAACAGAACACCAGGATCATAAAAGGTCTTATTTTTATAGATGATAGAACTATAGAACAAACAGTGATGTACAGACCCTGTTGTATAGACTTAAGACTGATAATTCATGGTACCAGATAAAATATGAATCAACAGTGCCCACAATGAGTCAAGCGCTATTAAATTGTTCATCAAGTATCTGCTCTTTCTTAGTTGCAAGACACTTGTTTGCTGCTTATCTAACCCACCCTTTTTCCATAATACAACACTGTACAAGTAGGAGAATTCGGTATGACAAACCACTATGAAAACTGAACCCTGACATTAACAGAAAATAGATACATACCTCCCATAGTGCTCCCAAGCGGTGGCTCCAGCTAATTGCAATATTGGTGCAGGTACTGGACTTGGTTGTGCATGATAATGGAAATTGTCGAAGTCATTAATATGTAATTTCTTGGTGTTCTTAGAACTTCTACGCCATGAATCAGAAGCAGCGGATAGATTCCTAAGCCACGAAGTGCTAAAACTACCATTATCATTTGAAGTAGATAGAACATCTGCTCCAAAGTCAGTCAACACACGGGCACCTAATCTTAAATTCTGCCAAAAAAGAAGCAAGAGAAATTATGAATACTTAATATAGAAGCAAACTTTACAGCCGCTCTGAAGGATGAGCATAAAATGTTTTGGAGTAAATGCAGCATACCTTAATGACATCTGCAGGACATGTTCTAAGCTTTGTAGATGCATTAGGGCCAAAAGAGACTAGTGGCCTTTGGACATGCTGACAAACCAAGGAAGAAAAGGTTCATAAACAAGGATGCTCTGAGTTGAAGCACTTGAGTCTGTTCTTGAGTCACATCTAGTCTTTTCAAGATCAAAGTGACAGATGCCATAGTAACAGTAACATAAATACAATGATAACTACACTGTGAGTTTGAAGCTGTGCATCATGTTCAAACGTTGACAGAGTGCGCTACACCGTCTGGCGGTGCCTTGTGTTCGTGTTCAACCCCATCGCTCATGGCACGTAGCCGTGATGTGATGTTGGGCGTGTAAAACTTCTAACTTCTTAATGAAACACGTGCTATACACGTTCTCGAAAAAAAAAATATGAGAAATTTAAACATGACTAGGTAAAGAGATCTTCCTAAATCCTAATGTCAAACAGTAATAAATAGTAAATACTAGTAGCAGATTTCTTTTTTTCTCGAGCACACAGCAGAGTTGTGCATCATTATACTAATACTAATAAGAAAAAAGGGTGGATATCATACCTTCAGATCAAATTTTGCCAGCGAAAGGTGATCAAAGGATAGTAAACTTGGAAGTTTCAATGCATCAGCTCTCTTGAGTGATCGCTTTAGAAGAACAAGTAACTGTTGCTGAATGGATAATGGTGTGCCCAGTCCAATATTGGTCCCAAGTGAATATGGAGAACTGATTATTCCAACTGTGTTTGAGATGCCTATCTTTGATAATAGATTGGAAATGGCTCCTAATACATAGGCAAGGCATGAATCATCATTATTCTGAAAAAACAAAATGCTAGAATCTGTTAACACAATTGAAGACCACCTGTTAGTCTGTGTAAACATTTAATATTTTTGGGAAATAAAATACACTTCACGAAAATATGCACAAGATCTTATACCAAGTATCCCTAATTTTAGGGATCTGAACATTAGGAAAACTGGACTCTATTGAACCAAGGGCCTTGCACAAGAGGCAATTAGACTAAAGATTTATAGAGATCCATCAGGTGACCTTGGCAGTTCCAGGTCCAGGAAACATACAGGTGGAATATACATTTAGGTTAAGAAACAGATAGGACAAAACTGAAAACTCAATGGCAAGGAATGTATTTTCAAAGTTATGCTACTGTCACAACATGTTGGGGACAAGGAGTGTCAAATTTCTGGAAGACTGATGAGATTTATCATGCTATCACAACAACAACAACAACAACAACAACAACAACAACAACAACAAATTTTAAGTCCCAAATAAGTTGGGGTAGGCTAGAGTTGAAACCCATCAAAAGCAATCAACATTCAGACACGTGAATAGCTATCTTCCAAGCACTCCTATCTAAGGCTAAGTCTTTGGGTATACTCCATCCTTTCAAGTCTCCTTTTATTGCATCTACCCAAGTCAACTTCGGTCTTCCTCTGCCTCTCTTCACGTTACTATCCTGGCTTAGAATTCCACTACGCACCGGTGCCTCTGGGGGTCTCCGTTGCACATGTCCAAACCATCTCAACCGGTGTTGGACAAGCTTTTCTTCAATTGGCGCTACCCCTAATCTATCACGTATATCATCGTTCCGAACTCGATCCCTTCTTGTATGACCGCAAATCCAACGCAACATACGCATTTCCGCGACACTTAGCTATTGAACATGTCGTCTTTTCGTAGGCCAACATTCTGCACCATATAACATAGCAGGTCTAATCGTCGTCCTATAAAACTTGCATTTTAGCTTCTATGGTACCCTTTTGTCACATAGGACCCCAGACGCTTGTCGTCACTTCATCCACCCTGCTTTGATTCTATGGCTAACATCTTCATCAATATCCCCGTCCCTCTGTAGCATTGATCCTAAATATCAAAATGTATCCTTCTCAGGCACTACTTGACCTTCCAAACTAACATCTTCCTCCTTCCGGGTAGTAGTGCCGAAGTCACATCTCATATACTCAGTTTTAGTTCTGCTGAGTCAAACCTTTGGACTCCAAAGTCTCCCGCCATAACTCCAGTTTCTGATTCACTCCTGTCCGACTTTCATCAACTAGCACTACATCATCCGCGAAAAGCATACACCAAGGGATGTCCCCTTGTATGTCCCTTGTGACCTCATCCATCACTAAAGCAAACAAATAAGGGCTCAAAGCTGACCCTTGATGTAGTCCTATCCTGATCGGGAAGTCATCCGTGTCTCCATCACTTGTTCGAACTCTAGTCACAACATTGTTGTACATGTCCTTAATGAGCCCGACGTACTTCTTTGGGACTTTATGTTTGTCCAAAGCCCACCACATAACATTCATTGGTATTTTATCATAACCCTTCTCCAAGTCAATAAAAACCATGTGTAGGTCTTTCTTCTTCTCCCTATACCGCTCCATAACTTGTCTTATTAAGAAAATGGCTTCCAAGGTTGACCTTCCGGGCATGAAACCAAATTGGTTCATAGAGACCCGCGTTATTGCTCTCAAGCGATGCTCGATAACTCTCTCCCATAGCTTCATAGTACGGCTCATCAACTTAATTCTCCGGTAATTAGTACAACTTTGAATATCTCATTTATTCTTGTAGATCGGTACCAATATACTTCTCCTCCACTCATCAGGCATCTTGTTCGATCGAAAAATATGGTTGAACAGCTTGGTTAGCCATACTATAGCTATGTCCCCGAGGCATCTCCACACCTCGATTGGGATACCATCCGGTCCCATCGCCTTACCTCCTTTCATCCTTTTCAACGCCTCTCTAACCTCATATTCTTGGATTCTCCGCACAAAGCGCCTATTGGTGTCATCAAAAGAGTCATCCAACTGAAACGTTATGTCCATATTCTCACCATTGAACAATTTGTCAAAATACTCTTGCCATCGATGTCGGATCTCATCCTCCTTCACCAAGAGATGTTCACTTTCATCCTTAATGCGCTTAACTTGGTTGAAGTCCCATGTCTTTCTCTCACGAACCCTAGTCATCCTATAAATGTCCTTCTCTCCTTCCTTCGTACTCAAATGTTGGTAAAAATCATCATACGCTCTACCCTTTGCCTCACTTACAGCTCGCTTTGCAGTCTTTTTTGCCACCTTGTACTTTTCTATGTTGTCCACACTCCTATCATGGTACAAGCGTCTATAGCATTCTTTCTTCTCCTTAATAGCCCTTTGGACTTCCTCGTTCCACCACCAAGTATCTTTAACCTCGCCTCCACTTCCTTTGGTTACTCCACACACCTCTGAGACCACCTTCCGAATGTTGGTTGTCATCTTCTCCCACATGTTGTTTATGTCGTCTTCTTCCTTCCAAGATCCCTCTTTGATAACCCTTTCCCTGAATATCTCTGACGTCTCCCCTTTCAGTTTCCACCACTTTGTTCTTTCAATCTTAGCTTGTTTATCTCTACGGGCACGCACCTGAAAACGAAAATCTGCCACCAAAAGCTTATGTTGAGAAACAACACACTCCCCTGGTATCACCTTGCAATCCAAGCATGCTCGTTTGTCCTTTCTTCTTGCGAGGACAAAGTCAATCTGGCTACAGTGTTGTCCGCTACTGAAGGTCACTAGATGAGATTCTCTCTTTCTAAAGAAAGTGTTGGCTATCATCAGGTCAAAAGCTACCACGAAGTCCAGAACTTCCTCTCCCTCCTGATTCCTACTACCATACCCAAAACCTCCATGAACTGCCTCGAAAGCTGCGCTTGTAGTACCTACATGCCCATTAAGATCTCCTCCTATAAAAAGCTTCTCACTACTAGGTATAGCTCTAACCTCTAAGTCTTCCCAGAACTGTCTCTTAGCACTCTCGTCGAGGCCTACTTGGGAGGCATACGCACTAATTACGTTCAAGACCATATCACCAATGACAAGCTTGACTAAGATAATCCTATCTCCTTGCCTTCTCACTCCCACCACACCATTCTTGAGGCTCTTATCAATCAAAACTCCTACTCTATTTCTATTCACGACTGTCCCTGTGTACCAAAGCTTGAAACCTGTATTGTTCACCTCCTTCGCCTTCTGACCCTTTCATTTAGTCTCTTGAACGCATAATATATTTACACGCCTCCTAGTCGCGGTATCAACTAATTCTCTTAACTTACCTGTAAGTGACCCTACATTCCAACTACCTAAACGGATCCTAGTTGGTTTGACTAGCTTCCTTACCCTTCGCACCCGTCGACTCAGATGCGAAGATCCTTGCTCATTTTTCACTACACCCGGGCGCCGATGTAGCGCGCCGCTAAGGAAGCGATGACCCGATCCTTGCTCACTTGACACCATGCCCAGATCACGACATGGCGCGTCACGGGGGTGACGACCCGGCCCTTGCCCATTTAACACCATACCCGGGTTCCGATATGGCGCGTCGCTAAGAGGGTTACGCCCCAACGATTTTCCCACGCAATGGAGGCTAGAGAGCCCCCAATCTCTTCTTTGCGTGTGTACCGACGCGCACACATGTGTGTGCGTGTGGTGTGAGTTTGGAGTGTGTGTGGGTCCAATCAAAAAAAAATGGTAGACAGTTGAGCACAAGTGCAGATGCTACGGGGAAAACAAAATCATGGGACCAATGCCTAAATCCTCGAGACCCTAATGCCCAATCCAAAGCGCTCACTCCACATCTCCAAGTACAGGTACCGCACAGGGCAGACCAAGCATAACAAGCAGCAGAGGGGGGAGCAATGAAGCAAGCGCGCGAGGACGTACCCTAGTGAGCGTGAACAGGAAGACTCCGAGGCTGTTGTGGTGGGCGAGGGACTCGAAGGGGAAGGGCGGCACGACGTCGCCCCCGGCCTGCGCCGGCGGCGTGAAGACCTGCACGAGGTGGCACACCGCCATCTTGTGTGGCGTCAGCTCCAGAAGCGCCCTTCTTGTGCCGCGCCGCCCCCGACCCCCGCGAACAAGCTCATGGCGCCGCCCGCCGTCACCGGAGACGAGGGTTTTGAATTTTTCCTTTTTTTTCACGTCTTGTCTCGGCTCAGAATGAAGTGAAGCGGACTGTGGGCGGATGCGCCTGGAGCTGCTTCACGCGTGGCCCTGCCAAACGTGCTACGTCAAAAAATTCAAAATAGCTTGGAATTTCTGAAAACAAGAAGCAGGCCCAGAATCCGCTCCCGGTGAAATCCGCTTCAGGCAATGGTGGCCATCCGACGGATGATTTGGGGCTTCAAGGAAAAGTCCCAGAAGCCGCAGCCAGTAAAATCCGATCCAACAAATTTGGGACACGGAACGGAAGATCAGACGGCCTGAGGAATTCAGGGTGACGTGGCAGCGGTTTCTGGCCGAGAAGCTCACCAGCTTTGTAGGTTTAAAATTAAAATGCAGCAGCTGAACCCTAACACATGACCAACCATAGGAAATATGAAGGCAAAAAACGCGGAGTCAACCTCCAACCACCAAAGGAAATAGAAGACCATGCGAACCTGATAGAAAGAGGAACAGGAGGACGTGGCACTGAGAGATGCCACAGCTGTTGCGACGCCAAACAACGCGACGGAAGAAGGGCGCGGCGCGCAGCGGCGGGGAGGCGGTAGCGCGAGGTCATAAGCGCGGCGGCGTTTAGAAGCGCGCGCGCATGCGGCGAAAGCACGTAGGCGGCGCGGCGGCGATGGCGGGGCGCAGAGGCGAAGGTAGGGAACCGCGATGAGTCACGAGGCGGGCGGGCGTGGGAGGCGAGCGAGGACGAGCGCGCTGGCTGCGGCGGCGCGGCGGGGCGCTTCAGCGCCGCGAGCGAGTAGGCCGGCGGGCATGGAGGCGGCCCTGCCGGCGCGTGCGTGAACGGAGAGAGGAAGTTTTTTTTTTTTCAGGGACACACAGGACGGATGGGGAGGAAGAATGGTGTGCAGGTGGTAGAACTATCTGGAGGCAGCGACGACACACGTGATTACAGGCCGTAGATGGTAGATCTGGCGGACAAAAATTGACGGTGACCTGGCCGCACCAGGGGTCAGTAAAAGGGTAATGGTAGATTTTGTTGGAAGTCTAGCAGACGTGGATCGACGTGGATATGAGTGCAGTCAAAATAAGATATTAGCATAGATATAGTTGGTTAGACTTATCTGAATTTAAGTTCTCAAATTTTTTACGAACGTCGAATGGTCATATGTTTTTTTGGACGTATTCTAAAATTTAGTGTCCGGTGGCATGACACATGTGACTTTATTAATTTAAAGATCTCCCGCCTTTGTCTTAGGTGAGAATGCTACGTGTTTGTGAGCGTCGTTTGTGATCCTCTGCGTATGTACTGTGATTATACAAATGCCATAGCTTCTTTTGTTTATCACTTCCTTCTTTTCTTCAAATGTCTTCGATTGTTTTTGTCGTTATATATTTTTTCAATCATCTCTTGATCACTTGCAATGTACAAATAATAATATTTGAGAATTTTGGGGTCACGTGTGCTGACCTGTCAGTGATTTCTTTAATACTTTTTTTAGAATTATACGGTACAACGCAGACGCCCACAACATGCACGTACACTCACCCCTATAAACACACGTACGCAAACCCAACCCCTATGAGCACCTCCGGCAGATCTCGAGATTCACGAAGTCACCACAGACGCCTCGCTGTCGACGGGGACGTCGCCTACCACTGAAAGTATAGCGCCGTTAAATCCTATCGACGGTACGTCGCCTACCACTGAAAGTATAGCGCCGTTAAATTCTGAATTAAATCCAGAAAAATGCAAGCACCCATGTCAAGTCAATGACTTAACCTGGATGGGCAGGTTCCACCACAAGGAAACCAACCGATCTATGATCAGTTCACATTTATTTAATACTTTTAATGTTGAAGTGTAAGTAAATTGGTCCTATTTTATTATTAGCTTACACTTTTTTTCTTACAAAAGACGCCAAACATGAATTATGTATTAATAAGGAAAACAAAAGTTAGTATATAAAAGAATTTATACCTAATATTAAAGAATCAAAATTTCTTCTCCTTGTTTTAGTCTGACCTTCCTCCAACTCCACAAATGCTGTCTCTATTTGATACAGGTTCTTGGGTAACCTAGATAACTACGAGTTGTAATCCAAATAAATCATCTGATCTTGAGTAACTGAATAGGAGTCCTAATTTAGATAGAAAATGATAAAAGTAGAAATTAGGTGAATCTTATCTTTGGTTTCAGCCTTTTTGGTTTTTGTTTTTCTATCATTTTTACTTAATTTTCTGTTTTTTTCATGAGGAAGTTTCGATTTCATGCATACGGGTACCATTTATGGTCTATGCCATAGTTCCCCATTTCTTTTTCGGTTTGGATGTCTTCTTTTTGCCAATTTCTGTGTTTTCTTTCTTCCGTTTCGAACATGTTCAACTAAAACTGATAGATGACTAATAATAATAAAACAAAGAATAAAAGCAACACAATAGGCTCTGGGAGAGATTTCCATCATCAAGTTATTAATGCAATTTTGATTAAAAGCAAAACTCATATTATTATAACTTGGTTCAGTCGATAGTCTAACTAATCAAACAGTGAAATTAGATCTTAAGTAGTTTGTTATCTAGTCCGGTCTACATGTTGTACATATGCACCAGTGAGACAAGGTCTGCCATGAGCCCTACATAACCTGCGGAAAGCAAAATATTTGTTGAGGATTATGTCCATTGACAAGAACAAGGCAAGTGCAAAGGTTCAGGGTGTGGGTTTTTTTTTTGGCCCAGGACTCCTTCAGGAAATTTGCAATCACCTCTGCGTGAAATGGTGGCACATCATAAAACACGGACATCTCCATCGAAGTACAGTGATAAGGATCCATGTAACTTCTTGAGGACGTGCAAGGATATCATCAAGCATTGGCTAGTACTTCCCTCGAGTGTGAAGGTATACGCCTTGTTCGCTTGGCTGATAAGCTATGGCTGAAAGTACTGTTGGTTGATTTGTTGTGAGAGAAAAATATTATTCGTTGGCTGGAAAAGTACGGCTTATAAGCCAAGCGAACAGGGACGATAATCAGAACACTTCTCAGCATATGATCATTTGTGTGGTTCACATACCCTACATTTGACTATACTTGAAGTGCAGGTCGTATGCCAAAGCTGGGAAGAAATGGTTGAAAGAATGGATGCATAGAATCCAATGATCTGGTGCATTTTGTACGAGATATTTGGATTTGCAACAAGCTCCTAAGGTACTTTCAAGACAAACAAACCATGTTTTTTAAGGGGAAGTCCAACCATCAATGTCAAACAGACCATGTTTTTTAAGGGTAAGTCCAACCATCAATGTCCTGTTTGATTCATGCATTGGTTCTACTTATTTGGGCCCATTTTATTCTTAGCTACTATATTTTTATGGAGTACTTGTTGTGCACATGCCAACTGTTAATTACGACTTCATTGAATAATTCTTGTGGTGCCACATGGGATGACCTAGCTAGTAGGAGTATTGAGGTTCGATCGAGCTAGACTGCCTAGCCATTTGAGTGTTTCTTCTTGCCTTGTGTGTGTTGTATACTATTGATGCACGCGCTGCTGCTAAGACGACCTACTTCAGTGCACTGCGAGCAGATAGGATAGATATCAATATTAACCATATGTATGTGGGCTACCTAGTTATTGCGCACATACATACCGTGCTTGTGTACATACAAATTGATGTGAAGGAATCTGATCATTGTACACATGTGACCGCTGTTACTAACCTTGGGGATCTGAGTCAATAATCACTCTACAGGTGGAGATGACTATATATAGAGAGAGCCTCATAGGCCATATGGGCCTAAAGTACAAGGGCCTTTATACACTTAACAACCCCCTTCAAAATCAAGGTGGAAGCGGAGGATTTGAAGCATTGAGTTTGGTCAAGTTTGTGCTTTAGTGAAAAAGTCAGCCAATTGCAACTCTGAAGGCACATACTGGAGAGAAATAGTTTGCTGATGACAATGAGACCGAGTAAAGAAGGCATCCATACCAATATGCTTTGTAAGTTCATGCTTCACAGGATCATTGGCAAATTGTATGGCTCCGGTATTTATCACAGAGAAGCGGTGTGACAACAGCACAAGAAATACCAAAATCAGCCAACAACCATCGAAGCCATACAATCTCTACAGTAGTAGTAGCAAGGGCTCGAAGTTCGGTCTCCGTACTAGAACGAGATGCAGCTGCTTGTTTCTTGGACTTCCATGCAATAGGAGAAGAACCAAGAAGAATGCAATATCCAATGATGAAACGTCGATCTATTAGGTCACTCGCCCAAGTGGAGTTCGAGTAAGCATGAAGCTAAAGCGGACTATCATGCGCATAGAATAAACTTTGATATGATGTCCCCCGTAAGTATTACAATAAGCGAAGTAAATGTCCAAAATGAACAGAAGTTAGTGCACAAACAAACTGACTCAAAATATGGAAGGCGTGAGCAATATCAGGCCTGGTGACAGTGAGATAAACAAGGATGCCCACAATATGTCAATATCGGGAGGGATCTGTAACACCTCGGGTGTTAGCCTCGCATAACTTGACTCGCATAACATGAGCATGAGCATCAAGCATTCATAAATCATCACTTACAATTGAAACATTTGATCGAAACATATGAAACATTGCTTGTTATCTCGTGTTTCTTGGAACATATGCATATGATCATGTGCAAATGAATGCAAGTGGGTAATGTTGGTCACTAAAACACTTTAGCTACACTTAGGTTAACAAAAGAAACCTTGTTCATGAAGGTCACCTTTCATGATCAAGCACTTAAGTAATATCACATGTGTTGACCTGGATAGCTATATGAGTGACTACTACATGAAATGCTTAAATGATCTTGCAAATTGTTTAAACATGCTTAGGATATCATTAGGAACAACTTTGGTATTTAGTGCTAAGGCTAG